GGTTTGAGCATTGTCATTCCTAATTTTTGAATACTGACCAGAGGAATAGTAACCTGTAAGCAGCACTCGCCGCCGACACAGATACTCCTAACCGAATGGTGGGAATATTTGCGACTTTTACAACGTGCTTACAGCTTAAGTTACGGTGCGTGTTCAATGGCATATCGCGGGCTCGAACCTTGGATCTTCCGATTCGCGGACCGGTCACGCGGGTTATGCTTATTTGCTTGTAAATAGTAATATTCTTGTCAGTGGTCACATTTGCTTGGTAGTGAACAACAATATACTTTTTATTCGTCAGTAGACAATAACATGCAGTTCAGTGGTCACGTGAGTCACAGTTACTTTAATATACTTGTCGCTGGTCACAATTTATCTGTAGTGGTTAACGATATACCTTATGGTTCACGTGGAGTCACAGTTGCTAGTTTTTCTTTAATGGAAATGATCGTCTACATAGTTTGTTTATTTGTTTTTTAATTTCGCGCAAAGCTACACGAGGGCTATCTGCGCTAGCCGTCCCTAATTTAGCAGTATAAGATTAGAGGGAAGGCAGCTAGTCATCACCACCCACCGCCAACTCTTGGGCTACTCTTTTACCAACGAACAGTGGGACTGACCGTCACATTATAACGCCCCCACGGCTGAAAGGGGCGAGCATGTTTGGTGGGACGGGGACTCGAACCCGAGATTGCTAGTCGATTGCCGTAACCACCTAGCCATGCCGGGCCTTTTCACAGTTTGATGGTCCAAATGATCCGTAGTTACTGAGTGGTCAGACTAATCTATAAACATTCGGACGTCCAGTGGGAAGACTTGATTTATGTGGTTATTTTAGGGTGGCCGCCGATATGTTTTTGGTAGAAGCATAGCTCGGGGGTGGGGAAGAGGAGGAGGCGAATGACCATCCCAATATTCGATATTGGAAAAAATGTAAAAAGTCCATTATCTTCTGATTTTTAAAGATGAACACGCGACTTTTTATGTAAATCGCTTAAACTAATTATGTAAAAGAAAAGGTACACATTTTATTGGAAAAAAAAAGACCTCACCCTCCCACTCTATAGTGCTTGCTACGCCCCTCATTCGTTGTCACACTAAGTCACAACTACTTGCTAGTAATCTGTTTGTTACTAACGGAAGCTTTAGTAAAATATTTAGCCATTCTGCTTAAATAGAACATATATAAATATAATTCTTCATAGTTTTAAATTATAGTGTCTGAATAATTCTAAACTACATCTTTGTTAAAGATAACTCTACTTAATTCTTGTCTACATTGTGGCAATGATGTGGATAAATTATGAATAAAGCTTAGATAAATGAAGAAATAACGATTTTATTTTTACTACTGTGGACTTTATGACATTAAATAATTAATTAATGACCGATCACTGATTTGTCTACACTTCGTTATCCCTCTCAAACCACACCCACCTGGTCTGACAACATTCCATTATTCCGTTCAAACCACACCCACCTGGTCTGACAACATTCCATTATTCCGTTCAAACCACACCCACCTGGTCTGACAACATTCCATTATTCCGTTCAAACCACACCCACCTGGTCTGATAACATTCCATTATTCCGTTCAAACCACACCCACCTTGTCTGATAACAATCCTTTAATCCGTTCAAACCACACCCACCTGGTCTGACAACATCCCATTATTCCTTTCAAACCACACCCACCTGGTCTGACAACATTCCATTATTCCTTTCAAACCACACCCACCTGCTCTGACAAAATTCCTTTATTCCGTTCAAACCACGCCCACCTGGTCTGACAACATTCCATTATTATCTGATT